AATCTGGTCACCTCAGAGCATTTCGAGGATATGGAGTGGCATTGTCACTTCAAATGAAGATATGAGGTGAAAAGAGGGGGTGGTCGGGGCTGTCTTTGTTCAAGGGCAGAGGACGGTTGATGATCACCAGGTGGCCACATCAGGGGTAAATCCCCAGAACCGCTTGGAAAACAGCGATAAGTGTCTGGATACCTTTATCCCACCATTTTCATGTAAAAGGAGCTGTAGGGTGAAGAGACAGTGTCGGAATGAGGTGGGATGCTCAGGAGCGTGCGTGACAAATGCTTGGGGAAATCTGAAACGAGCCACCTTTTGAATATTTGAATAACTCTCTAGTGTTTGATTTTGTTGATTTTGTAAGGAATACATTACACTGCCATACTGTGGGCTGACCTCCTGTGTGTGTGTTAGATGTTTTCACCTCAATATCTGGAAAAAAAAAGTAACTTGGATATAAAATAGCAGATTCATTGTTGGCAAAGTTTGCATGGAAGATTGTTTTTCATGGTTGGAATGTATTCCTGCATTTCCAACTGATGTTATTTTTAGACATGAAAAGCACTCGCATATGTCTTTCATTTTTCCATCTCCTCGCAAACCTAGTAAGGGCCATTTTTAAATAACGTTTTGACATTCAGGACGCGGAAGGCAGCAGACATCATGCTGTGCATAAATGGCTAGTTATCAGCAGAAAGTGTTGAAGCATAGCAGTGGCAGATGCAGAGGTCCTGCCAATGTAATACTGTCTGCATGAGTTAGCATCAGAATGCTAGCCCTGTTCTCCTCAAGACAGGTGCTCTCTCCTTTCACAGCAAGTTTTTCAATAAAAAAAAGAGTAACTGTCTTATTGACTACCCACATACCACTTGCCCTAGTATATCTTCCCATATTTCATTCTGATCTCACTGGGATGTAGCCAAGATTCTACATAATGTAAAGAAAGCGAGATGTCCTTTTAACCACAACATATTGACTGACTCTGTTGGTGGCTGGGAACAAGTCGTTATCAGCCATATGGGTGTTGAACCAAATCGACTCTTCTCTGTTCTCTGGCTTTGTATCAACTTGCCTGGCCAGGAATTAGCATGTCTAGACAACAAAAGGAGGTCCTGCCTAGTATGTAATTAGAGATTTTAGCATGACCAACTCCACTACAGAGCAGTTGGTGGACTGAGAGTTGGATGAATGTGAGCTGCTCCAGTGATTGTGATGATCTTGGGTCTTTTATTTGTCCTCACTTATTAGGTTTCCCATTACTCTCTAAGCCAACCACCCCCACAAGACTCATCTATAATTCACCAAGTTGCACTTCATGTCCTCCAAGACAAGATGGCAATTAATTAGTCTTTTTGTTCATTAAGAGGCCCCACTTCTAAAAGACAGTCATGTTTTATTTTTGTTTTAATTACTTTGCCTTTTGGCAGGCAGTGCAATTTCAGGATGTTTCAAAAAGGAGACCAGTGCAACAAGTAATTGAAGATATGCTTATTAGTTATATATTTTGTATATTTACTCATTTGTAATGTAAGTGAGGGGTTCAGATGGTGGTTATCCATCCATTTTCTGTACCCCTTATCCTACATATCCTATCCCAGGGGACCCGGGGCACAAGGCAGGGAACACCCTGAACAGGGTGCCAATCAAACACACACTCCCACACACCATGAACAATTTATAGATGCGAATCAGCCTACGATGCATGTCTTTGGACTGGGGGAGGAAACTGGATTACCCAGAGGAAGCCCCCAAATCACGGGCAGAAGATGCAAACTCCATGCACACAGGGCAGAGGTGGGACCCGAACCCCCACACACAGTATTTAAATTGTAAGGATGTTTGTGTTACTGACATAAAGTTATTTAACATGGAAAATAATTAAACAAACAGTTGCACCAGTTGCATGTTTGTATGGAGATTGGAAGTATTTTAATTATTAATTTCACATATTTGAATTATATACACATCACATTAAATTAATATTTTTTTTCCTGTGGTGTATGTAATAAATTTACATTTTTGCCAATGCATTTTTTCTTTGTTTTGAACTTGCTAGAGGTAAGTAGTTAAAAACCGCAACTCAAAATTGAGTTTTGATAATAAAGGAAAAATGGCAAAAATTTATTAAATATACCGCTAGGGAGAAAATCTGTCCTTATTTCCCTCTCAAATGTAAACATCTTACATTATTGTTAGAGTTTCAACCTGCAGACTGAGCACCATGACACTTAAAATGACATTTGGTTAAATGTTTCTGCTGGTGCTTCATGTAAAGATTGGCATTAATGTTGAGCCTGGCTGCCTAACTGCCTGTTCCACCCATTAACTACATCTTAATGAATATTAAATGTAACCACTGGGATGGCTCAGGTGGCTTTATCCGTAGCCACATTACCTGCTTCACAGCTTCCAGTTTTAATTATTTGTTCATTCACTGAGTGGACTGTAGGACAACTGAACTTCTGATCATCAAACCTCAGAAGGGTGGCATCCCCAGGATTTGGCAGCTTAATTAGGTAAATGGTTGTAAACTGTCATTGAAGGTGCTTGGAAACAGCTCATGGTACTAACCCTTGCTAATTGACAGAGCAGATTTTGCCAAATGTTTTCCTGCCGTTGCTGCAGGTGGTTGATTGCACTCAGTGATGATTTTAGAAAATAACAGGGTCTCACAAATTCATAGAAATTACCATGACTCAATCTGTGTGAAAAGTTACAAATGTTAAAGTTAGGGTGAGGAAGAATGACAGTGTGTTCATGTCATGTCATAACTATGGTATTTACACTCTGAAAGATTATACTCAGCGCTGTTCATCTAATCAGACTCAGGAAATGACAGCTAAGGTTTGATAGACAAATACAGACAGCTATAGTCTATAGTAGATAGTGAATAAGTGTGTGAGGGCATGATTTCAGACAGCACTTTAGGTTCTCTCAGATGGGTGGATCAGCCATTTACATATAAAAAAAATTGAGGAGGCACCCAGGGCCAATCAAATATCACTGCCACCCAAGCCACCCTCCAGCTCCACCTCTGATTGCGGGCGAATAATCAGACAGTGTCAGATCAGGGCATGCACTGATATTCTCTTACATTCTCATAAAAGCAACAGCTAAGGACATACTCTGATTGAAGTTCTTGTTGACTCTGGAATGTTCAGTGATGCTGCTCACTTACATACAAAATGGGACATGCTTCTACTATTCTGTCAGATTTAGCAGCCAACTTGCACAATGTTCCACTGCAGAGAGAGAGAGAGAGAGAGAGAGAGAAAGAGAAAGATGGGGAGAAAGAGGGAGAGATGAAAGGCATATTACACATTTATTCACATAAAACACGTTCTTCATTCTCCTTCCTCACCCTGTGCTTTAGTTTTGTTTTTCTTTTTTTCTTAGTAGTTAAGATATTGTAATGTGCGATATTTATAAAAAAAAAATAAAATAATTTTTTTTTTAAAAAAAGAAAAAAAACCTAAATGATGAAAGTGGAACACGCATCTGGTCATCTTCTGAGATCCAACTCCCTCAGGATTGCAGCTATAAATGCAGATGTGGAAGCGCATGTCAATTTAATTTTTAATTAGGCCTTCTTTAATTAGTCCTCTCCTGAAAATGGCCTTGTCTGAGCACCAAATTGTTGAGGAGGCACCATCTGAAGCAGTACACTATCTGATCGTGAATGTGTTGGATTATTTTCATACATAAAGATCTCTCAGTCAATGAAAAAAGAGTTCCTTTGCTGCCAGTTTCTTTTAAAGGCGTTAAACAAGAGAGACTTCAGTCCTGGATGGGTTAGAATTCTATTTCATTTTACGTCTAATTCAACTCATTAGGTCATAATAAAGGTCTTCATGGGCTAGGTATGGTGTATGAGACTTCTTTATGAGTCAAAATTTACAGAAAAATTATGAAGTGAGCTTCTCATTAACTTAGTCTTGAAAAACTCAAAATAGGTCTCGATCGTCAAGGTGGCATTGGTTTGTGGCTCCAATCTGTCACAAGATAACTGGGAAGGAACTCAAGAGGTCTGTGACATCATGACACACCTTTAGCAACCTCATCAAAAAGGGCCAGCATGGTCACTGAACCTGAGACATGCCCACTGGGAAGAAGGAAAAGGATGATGAGGCCTCGCAACTTGCCTGGAACTCGGACAAACACCACTACATCGCTGCCAAAAGACTTTTGGAAAGTTCAAACTAACTCAAAGAATGTTCCAGAAACTTTGGTCAAAGATGCGGCAATCTTTCAAAGTTCACCAGACATCTCACCTTTACTGAAAGAGGAAGAGACAAATAGCCACTTAGCCGAATCCTTCCCTTGCTCCCATGCTGATTGCATTCAATCAATCAACTCTACCTTTGCCCGCGTTGTCCGGGCCCTTGGGTGCCGAGCTTTATTTCTAATTTGGGAAAGCCAAGAATGCTATATTAAGATAAAGCCAGGGTAAATTGAAGGTATCTGCAGGACAATGCTGCACACTCTCAGGCTTGATTGCCTCCTGACTGTCCTTCATTAGGGAGCAGTGACTCTGCACTTCACCCACGACAGGCAATAGGATTCTGTTTAGCCCACCTACACTGTTTAGCACTCAAGACATTGACGGACTGGAAAGATACTGCTCTCGGAGCCTCTTAAAGTCATTAGGCCTTGCTTAGCGATTGATACCTTTGGTCTCCTTTGATCTAGCCAACCAGATCTTACTTAAAATGTGGAGAAATACTAACAAGGCAAATCGGCTTCACTGATTTTTCTATACTAATGAAATTGTAAAAGAAGTTTCAACCACTAAACCACTTTTTGTGTTAGTTTGTGTGAATTTATTCATTTTCAGTTTGGACCCATGTATTCCGAGCCTTTTTTAGAGAAGTCCAGTCAGCTGACTAGACCTCATATAGTACCAGGGCTGGCTGGTATAAATGGGATCACCTTTCAAGAAAAAAAGACATCAAGCTAAGGCTCAGTTTTTGGAATAAACATTGCCTGATGGCTTATTTATTGGTGGCATGGTGATGTAGTGGGTAGCATTGCAGCCTCACAGCTCCAGAGTCACCAGTTCAATTCTGACCCATATCTGCATGGGTTTTCTTCAGTTTCCTCCCAACTCCCAAAACATTACAATAGGTGGATTACCCTAAATTGCCCCTAGGTATGTGAATGGTGCCCTGTGATGGACTGGTGTCACATCCAGGGTTTATTCTGGCTACACGCCCAGTATTCCCAGGATAGGATGCAGATCCACTGCAATCCTGACCAGGATAAAGCAAGGGGTGAAAGCAGTTATTTATGGACCTATTTAATTATTTAAATGAATTATTTTTTTTTAACTTTTGTTGAACCAAAAAAGTACCACCAACACTTGTAAGAAAAATACACAGAATGGTATGAAGGAAAAAGACTGGGGCTGATTTCTTTCTAGTCCAGACTGTACATTCACACAGCCTATCAGTGACAGTCGTGTCAGGTGATTACTCTTGGTAAACCACCTCTATTTAACCCCAGCTCACGGACACATCCATATCATGTCATGATACTGTACAAGAGCGTGGTTCACGGCGTAGATTCTCACACAAGGCAACCACTTGGTTGTCTTTACCCTTACTAAGTGCACTAAGGTCTAATATTCATAATTTTCTCTGAAATAATAATAAGCCTAAGTAAATGATATGGTGTGTTTTGTGTGTGGTGTGTGTGGGCTAGAAAAAAATCAGCCCCAGCTTTGCTTCTTTATGTGTTATTTTTCTTATGACCACTTGTGGTCTTGTTGCTCTCAGTTCCATAAAAGACCAAAATAATCCACCTTATGTCTTTTTTGTCTAGCCCATTTACACAAGCCACTCCTGAAGAAAACTAGCAGTGTTCTGTTTCCATTGAGCGCATCTGGTAGGACAGAGCAATAACATCAAACAGGCAAGGAAAATGGTTTGATTTGGACATTTTCTTGACTTTTCTTTCCATACAATAAATACATGTCAATGACAGCAAATTCATGTCCACTTAACTGAATTTGAACTGTCTTAGAGATTTTTTCCATGTTAAACCTGCCTGGGACTTGATGGACCCAAGTAAATCAACAAAGCCACACAATACACACATTGTAGGTTTTTTTGTGGCTTTTACCTGCTTTAACCACAGCACCTTCAAGATTTAGGTAATAGTGATTTTTTTTAGAACTCTGAGTGCATTAGATCCTCAGTGAACCAGGGCTAAAATGTGATAATGGATGGCTGGCTTTGCACAAAGCAATAGAAGAGAGAAAAGAGTACATACACTCTCTCTCTCTCTCTCTCTCTCTATCTCTCTCTCTCTCTCACTCTCTCACACACACACACACACACACACACACACACACACATGAACCACTATCAAGTACTCAAAGCAGATAATTAGAGATAAGAGGCATATTTTGTGCTCCATCATGTGTGTTTACTAGCACAGCACTTCGTTGTATCCACCTACCATGAGAGAACGCATTAAAGCTACAGAAGTAAACATATACATACAAATAAATGACTATGTGCAGGATATTTAGTACAATAAAAATCTAAAACACACATCTTAGGATGCAAAACATACACAGTAACATATGAATAAGATTAAAGCTCAGCTCTATCAAAAACTGCTATGTAACTCCTGACCAACACAGCATACTTCCCCAAATCTTTGCAAATCTGTTTTTCTCAGCTATTCTATTCCCTTAATAGCCTCTGTTCCATTTGCCTTGTCTTATCTGAGCTGTGAATTCGAGAACTGAAGTTTCAGGAAGTTCTGCTAGAAAGTAGGGCGCGTAGAGTTACACAGCCCGATCGTTGTGTTTCTTTTTCCCTTTATATAGTGTATGCCCCATCCAGAATTTAGATCAGGTTGCAATATAGCACCATCTGTCCTTGAGAACAAGTGAAATTGTGATACCCTCACCTTCAGCATCTTGAATTCACATTTTGACTTATTTGATGTGCAGCAGTCAGACACACCCCACTGAAATCTACCTCCACAGCGACAACCAGTCTAAAAATTATGCTGTGAGTACACTGCCTGAATAGACTCACAGCTAACAAAGAGACAGACTTGTTAAAAAAAATGAATGTGTCTTGTCAACTGCCAGTAGCTCTAGTGTCTTTTCAACACTGTTACACTCACCAACCACTTTATTAGGAATACTTGTAGACCTGAACATTCATGCAATTATCCAATCAGGCAATAATATGTGAGCAGCACAATCAAAATCATGCAGATACTGGGCAAGAGCTTCAGATAATGTTCCCCAGAATGGGGAAAAATTATGATATCAGAGACTTTGACCATGCCATCGTTGTTGGTGCCAGAGGGGCTGGTTTGAGTATTTGAAAAATTGCTGACCTACCGGAATTTTTCACAAACAAAACACTCTATAGAGTTTACACAGAATGGTGCAGGAAAAAAAAAAACATCCAGTGAGTGGCAATTGTGTGGGAAGAAATGGCTTGCTGAGGAGAGAGGTCAGAGGAGAATGGCCAGAGTGCTTCAAGCTGACAGGAAGTATACAGTAACTCAAATAATCATTCTTTTTAACTGTGCTGTATGAGTTGAGTTGCTGTATATGTGATGCAGAAAAGCATCTCAGAATGCACAAGATGCCAAACCCTGTGGAGCGTGGGCTGCAACAGCAGAAGACCACATCGGTTTCCACACCTTTCAGCCAAGGACAGGAATCTGGTGCACCAACCGTTGGCACCAAAACAGGACCGTTGATTGGACAAGACAAGGCATTAGGGTGTTGCTATTAAAGTGACCTGGGAGTGTATTTTGAGTGTATAGTGAGTATTTCTCAACCACCATTTACAACTACAAAGTATGAATATCCTATATGTTTGATAAATCTTTTGTCTTATAATATAAATGAATATTACACTATGAGGCAACTGTTTGGGGAAGAACCATATATGGGTGTGATGTCAGGTGTCCACATACTTATGGCCATATAGTGTAGCTATAGCTCAGAGAGGACAGCGTGGCTAATAACATTTTCTTCAGTATTTCTAATGTCACTTTTTTTAAGGATTCTCCCAAATTCACATTAAATGACATTATATAGCACTTAGTTCCCAAACAGTTGGTCATTTCCACAGAGGCCAACTTTACAACTGACTCTTGCCAATTACGTTTAGCAATGTTTCAAATGGCCAGACAAAGTTCCCGAGCTTCTGCAGCATTTGGTCAGATGGTCAGTTCAGTGCAGCTCCTGATAAAGCCCTTCAGGCCCTATAACACTACACTGAGGTCTTGCAAACCACATGATAAAGTTTGCAGCAGCGCTATCTCAATGTTAAAATCCCATGCCTGTTTCACAAGTGAAATGATGGATGGCATGGCACTAGTCAAGCCTACACTCCCCTTACGCTGAAAATCCCAAAGCCCAAAACTCTGATGATAGATCACCTCAACCTTATCTCGTACTGATTATTCCTGCCTGAGACGGCAAGCAAGGGCGCGTCTGGATAAGTGCTGTGCTTGCATGAGAGGAGAAATGGCTTTGTTACATGATGCTAGTTATTTATCATTATTAGCTTTTTGTCATTAGATTGTCATCATCCTGAGAGGCTCAAGCCAGGTGTGCTAAATTGTTCGTGTTTTCTCAGATTATAACAAAAGGGACTGGTAACTAGTGAGTGATCATAAAAATGTGTTTTTAGATCTTTTTGTTCTTTCTGTGAGCTTGGAAACCAGTGAAAAGGAACAATATTTTCATCATACCATTGAATGTGATGGCCAAGAAGAGGTATTTTCTCTCACATTTCTTTTCATGTGCTCTCACAATAATGCACCTCTCAGTAACTTATTATTCCAGACTCTGTTTTCTGAGTCATGCGTGTATTATTAAAGTTGCTTATGAAGTTTTACTTCATTTCATCTTCATGGAGAAAACCTACACAACCAAATAAATTCTCGTTTAACATTTTTTATATTTTCTCATGGCAAACCGATTAATTAGTCTTTATTGCTTTCACTTTTTTCACTTTTCTTTATGAATAAACATTGGAATCTGTTTAGATGACAGAGATAATTATAGTTTGCATTGAAAGAAAAGTGTGGTTTTCTTGGTTGACCTTACAGTCACAGAGTACAGCTAAACCCATTTCAAGACACAATGGCAAAAGCAAAAAAAAAAACCACACACACACAAAAATACAGAAGAAAAACTTTGCTTCTAAACGCAAACAAGTTGAAACAAAGCTGAAGAGTAGAGTGTATGTAGATGTAAATACTGTATGTATCACACGACCTACTGAATCTTTTCGACCAAATCTTTGGAGTGAATTGACTGTGTTGGGTCATTAATCTAAAAGATTTCCACAACTGTGAAAACCTGTGCACCGATTCTCACTCCTGTCAAAGATTTGTTCAAAAAGATTGTTAGAAAGTTTCACCTGCTGCTAATAATATAACCTCAGTCCTTCCTACACAGTTCCATTAAGCTGAATTAAAGCTATACTATCTATAAAAGTAGAAACTGTAATGGAACAAAATGTTGAATAGTATACATTTATACAGTATAAAACAACAGACTGCACCCAGTAAGTATATTTATCATTCATGTCCATAACCAAAGGAGAAAAATCAAGAAAGTGGTGTATCTTGTAGTAGCCTGATGCACCAAAATATTGGAAATAAAAATTTGTTGTCATTTTGTGAAATTGTTTGCTGTTTATAATATATAAATGTCATTTCAGTAGAGAGCTCTTCATTGCTTTGCACTGTGCGTGATGGTTGTGGTTTAGCCAATCTGACAAGGGCAACTCTAAAGGGAAGCATTTTAATTTGGCATAACCACATCTACGTGAACAACACAAAAGCTTCCAATGACTGCACGCAGAAAGAGGCTTGCTCAAATACTTGGACAGTGTTTACAATAATTAACATGTTTTTGGTACTTGTTCATTTCATTTTTTTTTTTTATGTTGGTTGCCCCCGTGCTGCTAGCAATGAACACCATTTGCTGAGATTTATGGTTACGATGTGATTGCGATTAAAAAGTAGCTTTATTAGAGATTATGGGGACGATTGACCTGAGTGCACAGAGAAGTATGAGCATAGTA